CGAAGTCAAGGTGTCACAACTCCTTTGAACCACATGAAAAAGGGCACGCAGAAAATATGTGTTTCTGACTCTCTTCCACGCTTCCCCAACCTCTCTGCTCCAACGCGGCTTCCCAAGAAAATGCCTAACTGACGGCCAACGGCCCTTGGAGAAAATCGAGGAGCGGGGCATGAAGATACCAAGGATTCCTCTCAGGCGTTTGTTATAATCATGCACTGCTCCAAACTCTCCGCCTTAATACGTACCCGCGTATCCCCGAAGCGAATGCTGCAAGACGGAGCCATCCAACATGCAGCAGAACCTGAGCTGGGTGGATTGGATGGCGTCCACGTCGAGGACATCCTCGGCTGTGGCGGCGACGTGGGCCTCGAGTTCCGCAAGCTGGGCAAGCACAAGGACGTTTCCTTCATCGTCAAGGAGGTTACCTGGCAGTGAACCAAGTACAACCTCGGCTGGCGAAGCTGGAAGCTACCCGAGTTGCCAGATCCAGCTTGTCTGCTGAAACACAAGCTGCCTCGGATGCTGCCGACTCCCTGGCCTATTGACGCGAAGGCCGTGTACGACCTGCTCTCCCGCAACGATGTGCAGGTGAGTCTGGGGACCGCCATCCAGTCCCTGGTGATCCAAGACAAGCTCAAACGCAACCACCAAGTGGGTCTCCAGTGAGAGACAATACGCCGACGCCCTAACCAAGCCACAAGCCGCACAACTACTGGTAGATCGGATGAGAACACATCTTGTTCGCATCCGTGCCGACAACACATACCATGCAGCCAAGCGCAAGCCAGCCACTGAAAGAAAGGAGTTCTCTGAGCTGTATGCCATCAAGCGCAACAAGGTTCGCGCCCTTGCCAAAAGGCCGCAACTGCCCTCGCCTGCCAACCACATCAGCCTTGATTGAGTACCGGCAAGGCGTGAATTCTGTCATGGACATGACCCTCATCACCTTCATGCTCACCCTCATCATCGGGACGATCAGCTTCATGTGGTGGCTGAGCACAAAGTACGAGTTCAACTTCAGCCGCAAACACCTGAGCACCATAACCTCCACCGAGAGCCGCGACACTCACGCCCAGACAGACAACATGTCCGAGGCTTTTGCGATCGCTGCCAACGAGATCCAGGCCCTGAATGATGAGATCAGGGGACGGCGGCAGACTCGCCGTCAACAGAGGCGCCTGGCCGAGCAGACCTATGATGCCCTGAACCTCAGACCGCAAGGTCAGCTTCAACGCCGACCTGAGCAAGACGTTTGCGTCACCGCATGTGGAGGAGCATGGCATCGGCAACTGCCCAGCTGTCACCTCGGCGAGAAGGGCGCGACCCTGCAACACTACGCCTGCCGAACATGCACCTCACGGCCTCCAAATATTGTGAACTGAGGGCGCATAGCCGAATTTCACTTTTACACCTGTGTAAGTTGCAATCCATGCAACATGCATGTACATGCCACTGCCGTTTCACATTATCAACCACTCCGATCGGGTATCGCATCGATGCATGGCCACCTGGCTACGCCGCCCGCTTCGTGGTGAAAACTGCGAGACCCATCACCACATAGGGAAGTGACTTCGTGCGCTCTTTCCCCTGAAGATCTACCCCGCAAAGGTGATCTTCACAGACCTGGTTTAACCATGCTTAGACATGCCCCGTGCATCTCTCATCTCTCCCCGAACCCTTGCTAGCGCCAATGTCGCGGGAAAAGTGGTTCAAACTCGTTTAAATGTGCCCTACACCCCTCTTTTCGGACCTTGCTTGCAAGGGCAAATGATCTCCGACCAGCGCCAGTGTTTCGGGCCCTTGGAGCAAACAAGGCTTCTCAGGCGTTTGATACAATCACACAATTCTCCCACTCTCCGCCTTGCCAATATGACTTTCTGGGACTCAATTCGAAGAACCACAGTTCGGCGCAGAAAACCAAGGGTAAGGGGCACCCTTCAGGAGAAATTGCATGCTCGTATGATCTTGCCTTTTCTGAATCCATTACTTCAACTTGGAGAAAAGAAAAAATGCAGCCCCCACCTCGCAAACTCCCCACAGCAAACAAACTCACCCACACAATACAAAGGCTTCATGTGGGACAAACCAGTTTGAAGCCTCTGTTTTTGTGCTTTTGGATGAGTTCCACTTTCACAACAGTCAACGGACAAAGGGCAAGTTGCCTTTTCCTTCATTGCCATGTTGACTTACCCCCAAAAAGTATGGCCTTTCAGAAGGGTTAGACTTGAAAGTGGTGACCCCCCTGATATGGGCGCAGGTTTGTGAGCTGTCCAAGGACCAACTAGTCAGCATGACGTTCAATGGCCCAACGACCATCCAGTGACCCCTCGGCCTCCCAGGCTCTGTAGCTGTTCCTCTTGTGAAGGGACGACAGTTGAAGTGGAAAAGGCCTGCGCTGGGTCAACGGTTGCTAACGGGGGTCTGTCGCTGGTTGTCCTTCAAATCACCAAAACGGAAACTGAACAAAAATCACAGCCCTGGAAACCGCTCACACCACTGCAGTTGTGAAAATATGCGTTGGGAGCCTAGGAGCCACTCTCCTGTTCATGGGCCACAAGGAAAGGAAAGGAAGGGAGAGGAAGGAAAGGAAAGGAATTGAAAGAAGCGTTGGAAAGGAAAGCGATTGAAATGAAAGCAACTGAAGGAAAGTCAATTGAAAGCAAGGCAATTGAAAGGAAACAATTGAAAGCATCAGTAAAGCAATTGGAAGAAGGAAATGGAATAAAAGGAGAAGAGAGAAGCAAGAGGAAAGAAAGAAGAAAGGAAAAAGGAAAGGAAAGAGGACATAAAGCAACGAAACGTGGGCCTGCAAGGGCAATTGCAATCATAACACGCTAACCCAAAAGCATCACTTCTGGAAGTTCGCTTGAAATCAGACAAACTGATTTGCTCAAAGAAACGCAGGCCCTTTTCAAGGGTCTCAGAAGGTAATGAAAGGAGAAACCCAAGGGACGAGCTTTGGGGAACCCCTATCGTATTTGTTTGCCCCTGGCCGTCACGGCCGACCCAGATCTAATGGTGAGGGCCCTCCAATAGTGGAACTACCCAGATGCTCAGACATTCAGTGGGGCGCGCCCTTCAAAATGAAATTGTCAAACGTGTCTGGGCAAGATCCTGTGGGGCAAAATCCCGCATTTCCATGGCACTCTTCCCTTCCGTTGGTTTCTCAGGGACCCCCGAAAAAAAGAGAACAACGCACCACTGGGCATCTGGGTCACCATTGTTGATAGAGCGTCATGCAGTACGGGTCTGTCCTGGAAGCCTTGCACAAGATGCTCCATGGCTTACGGGTCTGGGCGTTGATTCCGTGTGCAGTGAGAAGGACGTAGCGATATCCACGGGTTGCGTTTGCTGACAAAGCGTTCGGGGTGCCAAGTGCTTGGGGGCCGAAAGTTGGCTGCAGATGATTTCAAACATGCTGCATGCTGGCTTCCAAGTGAAATGGCGATGACTGGGACAGCTCCGATTGTGACTGTTGGTGGCACCTGACGCAACTTCAAGGGGCAGCGTGTAGAACCACCGTGCTTGCAGCCATCATGCGCGACACGCTTGGCTCAAGAGATTGGTAAAATAGCATTCAAGTTTTGACCCAACAAAAGTGCATTAATCAAGGTGGGCCACGGGTGCAAGGTCGATTCGCGCTTGCAACTGAGCACCTTGGTTAGCTTACACCACCGCCGCTCCTGCAGGAGTAGCACTTGAAGGTACATGAAAAGTTACATATAATTTCTACGGCAGCATCCCCAAACATCCATCTGCTGCTGATCCAGGGAGTATCTGTGCAATCCGCGCAAAACCCGATCTGAGGTGTCGTCCCTCTTCCCCAAAAAGTGCCTTTCAGTTGCTTGCTGAGGGAAGCAACCCCCTTCCAGGTGGGTCGCTAGAGGAAACAAAAGGATTTGTCTGCAATTGCGAGAAGCCAATATGTGCAGTGACCTTCCCGCAAAGGATAACGTGGCTTCAAGCTTAGTAAGGGCACCATCTTTGACGTCAACCGGTTTCTCCTTAAAGATGACATACAACTGTTGGGGCACCATCTCAACCCTCCTCCCCCCCACCAAAAAAAGAACTACTTAGCAGCTGTCTTTTCTTTGCCGGATTTTTCACTTGCCTTAGGCCTTTCCCAGGTTTATACTTCTCTCTTCAGCGGCTGCAACGCCTTCCAAGGGTTCTTGGCAACAGATCTATGAACAAAAAACATACACGTGGTGCCGCGCTCACTACAATTAATTATTGCCTTGCACCGTAAGCGCATCTGCCAGAACTAAGCACTGACCGTAGAGGTCACCGCTCAGGGCACGACAATTTCTCAAAGTGACTCCGCATGTTCGCACCTTTCCCAATTCGGAACAACACGCTGGTCGCATGTTTGCTCTGATATAATTTGAAGCCACCACAACAGAACTGAAGCTTTAAATGAAGGCCAAAAGCGAGGAGACGAGCTCGTGTTTGGAATCGGCTGATTGATCTTCCGGCAAGGCCCCTAGCCCCTTGTTTGGTGGCCTGAATGTGAAGGGCCCTGGGGAAATGACACCTTGTTCATGGCCGCCAAAGGGGAACTTGCTGCACGAACTGCGAGCTTTGCTTCGCAGCGGCGCGTCCTCTGCCGCTGCTTGTGCTTCAGCCTTGACATCTGGCAAAAACGGATCTTGCCTGGCACAGGCAGCCACACTGCCAACCGGCGTCTTTGCTGGTAGATCCAAAGATGTGTATTGAATTGTACATTTTGCATGTCTTCCAGTTGGGAAGGCACCAGGAAAGCAAGCAAGACAGGCGTTGAAAGAGTTGCGATTGACATGTTTCCACAGGATCCACTAACTGAACTCAATGAACTTCAAGTTTGGTGATGTTCCAGAAAAAAGAAGACGCCAAAGCTGATCTTCCCACAAGCTAGCAGCCAGCGCACGGCTGCGTGACAAGTCGAACTTGGGGGGGAGGGGTGGTGGTTTGGTTCCCTGACCCGCTAGCCATGAAGCAAGCTAATGGCTTTAAGAAACCTTCCCGCAATGGAAGCCGTGCCATTCAAGGATCTCGGCTCGTGCCAAGAAATGTGCGAAAATCTGACTAACAGCAGCACTGTGCCGCGGCGACTGAAGTTGGGCGAAAGTTTAACCGAACGACTTGAAGCTTAGCGCAGTTCGCGGCCCGGCTCAGCGCGCCCAGAAGAGTCACCTGCAAGGGTCGACAACTGCTAGTGGGGGTCAAATTTGCTCAAACCACTCTGGGCAAGAAGCAAATCGCGTGGCAGAGGCCCGCTATAGCAACAACTCAGCGCCCACAAAATGTCCGTCTTCCGGAAAAACACCCAGACGCTGCACGATCACAATCCTACAAGGAAACAGTTTGAACGCAAGCCGACTCAGAACAGTGCGACCCAAACTGGCTTGGAGCCCTCGTTCGCTGACACTCTGCTTTTTCGCAGCCCTCCAGCTCATGTTCAAACGCGCAAAAGCGGGGCCCGTGACTCATGCAGTTTTCATTCAGCGCTGCCTTGCTAAGCTCACGCACTCGGCCCGGCGGGCCTGTCTTCTGGCGGCGGCGGCGGCGGCGGCTTGAGTGGCCGCCGCGCCTTCTCCTTCGGTGGAGGGGAGCCCCCGGCAAAAAGTGTTCTGTTTTCCTGCTCTCTCTTCTCTTTTCCCCTTTGCTCGTCTTTCTCTTTGTCATCTATCTTTTTTCCGTCCTTCCTTCCTGTGTTTACTTTCTTTATTCCTTGTATTTGTTTCGGTTCTTCAATTATTTCATGTTGTCTGTTGGTATATGTGTGCAAATGGTGTTTTAGTTCCTTGTTCCCCACATCTTTGTGTGGGGTTCTTACTTTTACCGCTCCGCGCCCGCCGTCCGGCCCCGCCGTCCGCCGCCCGCCCCGCCGCCCACTCACTCACACTCACTGTCTCACACTCACTCACACACACTCACTCACACACTCACTCACACACACTCACTCACTCACTCACAGGGGCAGCATTTGGGAGCTGTTTAAAGGGCTGGGGTGTTGTCGCGCGCGCGGCTCGGGGCTCGCGAAATCGTGGCAGGCGCAGCACTTTGGAGATGCCGTTGCCGAAGTCGTGGCAGGCGCAGCATTCTGTGCATCTGAGCGTGTGTTTGCGTAGCAGGGGCAACATTTGGCAGCTGTCTAAAGGGCTGGGATGTTGTCGCGCGCGCGGCTCGGGGCTCGCGAAATCGTGGCAGGCGCAGCACTTTGGAGATGCCATTGCCGAAGTCGTGGCAGGCGCAGCATTCTGTGCATCTGAGTGTGTGTTTGCGTGGCAGGGGCAGCATTTGGCAGCTGTCTAAAGGGCTGGGATGTTGTCGCGCGCGCGGCCCGGGGCGCGCGAAATCGTGGCAGGCGCAGCACTTTGGAGATGCCATTGCCGAAGTCGTGTTCTGTTCTGAGTGTCGTGGCAGGGGCAGCATTTGGCAGCTGTCTAAAGGGCTGGGATGTTGTCGCGCGCGCGGCTCGGGGCTCGCGAAATCGTGGCAGGCGCAGCACTTTGGAGATGCCATTGCCGAAGTCGTGGCAGGCGCAGCATTCTGTGCATCTGAGTGTGTGTTTGCGTGGCAGGGGCAGCATTTGGCAGCTGTCTAAAGGGCTGGGATGTTGTCGCGCGCGCGGCTCGGGGCTCGCGAAATCGTGGCAGGCGCAGCACTTTGGAGATGCCATTGCCGAAGTCGTGGCAGGCGCAGCATTCTGTGCATCTGAGTGTGTGTTTGCGTGGCAGGGGCAGCATTTGGCAGCTGTCTAAAGGGCTGGGATGTTGTCGCGCGCGCGGCTCGGGGCTCGCGAAATCGTGGCAGGCGCAGCACTTTGGAGATGCCATTGCCGAAGTCGTGGCAGGCGCAGCATTCTGTGCATCTGAGTGTGTGTTTGTGGGCGGGGGCAGCATTTGGCAGCTGTTGCCGCGTGCGCGGCTCGGGGCTCGCGAAATCGTGGCAGGCGCAGCACTTTGGAGATGCCATTGCCGAAGTCGTGGCAGGCGCAGCATTCTGTGCATCTGAGTGTGTGTTTGCGTGGCAGGGGCAGCATTTGGCAGCTGTCTAAAGGGCTGGGATGTTGTCGCGCGCGCGGCTCGGGGCTCGCGAAATCGTGGCAGGCGCAGCACTTTGGAGATGCCATTGCCGAAGTCGTGGCAGGCGCAGTATTCTGTGCATCTGAGTGTGTGTTTGCGTGGCAGGGGCAGCATTTGGCAGCTGTCTAAAGGGCTGGGATGTTGTCGCGCGCGCGGCTCGGGGCTCGCGAAATCGTGGCAGGCGCAGCACTTTGGAGATGCCATTGCCGAAGTCGTGGCAGGCGCAGCATTCTGTGCATCTGAGTGTGTGTTTGCGTGGCAGGGGCAGCATTTGGCAGCTGTCTAAATGGCAGCATTTGCAGCCGTGCCAGAACACATCATCGAGCCGCACTTCAGGACACCCCAATCGAAAGATTCGGACGCGTGGATGATTTGGAAGTTGCTTGCATCTGCGGTCGCGGGAGCGACCTATATACGCTTGTAGAACCAGCTGCAATGCAAAGAAGCCCGCAGAAATGGGGTTCCGCTCTTGGAAGGCTTTCGTCTTGAAGTACTTAGCGCCTTACAGCGCAGGATGCATGGGGCCAGGCTGGCAGATACATGCTGCGCCTGACGCGTTGGCACTTCAAGCCATATGTTAAACATATGCCGCTGACATATGCCATTGGCGATGCCAATGCGACCCCTCGATCTGCCAGAGCGAAAAACAAAGTGCTGAGAGTTTTCGACATAGCTGACTGCGTGAAGGTTTTGCATGTGAGGGTCTTTGCATGTCTCGGATTTGGGATTATTCGCTGCTCGGCAGATGCAAGTGTCGCATACTTCAATAAGCATAGACTTGTGGGGTTATCCGGCCCTTTAATTCTTCCTTACCTTCTTTCTTTCTGTCTTTCTTTCTTTCTTTCCTTCTTTCTTTCTTTCTTTCTGTCTGTCTGTCTTTCTTTCTTTCTTTCCTTCTTTCTTTCTTTCTTTCTTTCTGTCTGTCTGTCTGTCTGTCTTTCTTTCTTTCTTTCTTTCTTTCTTTCTTTCTTTCTTTCCTTCCTTCCTTCTTTCTTTCTTTCTTTCTTTCTTTCTTTCTTTCTTTCTCTCTCTCTCTCTTTCTTTCTCTCTCTCTCTCTCTCTCTCTCTCTTTCTTTCTTTATTTATTTCTTTCTTTCTTTCTTTCTTTCCTTATTTTTGTTCTTTTCTAAATTTCTTTCTTCCTGTCTTTCTTCCTTCCTTCCTTCCTTCCTTCCTTTCTTTCTTTCTTTCTTTCTTTCTTTCTTTCTTTCTGTCTTTCTGTCTTTCTGTCTTTCTGTCTTTCTGTCTTTCTGTCTTTCTGTCTTTCTGTCCTTCTGTCTTGCTGTCTTTCTGTCTTGCTGTCTTTCTGTCTTTCTGTCTTTCTGTCTTTCTGTCTTTCGTTCTTTCTGTCAGTCTGTCTTTCTGTCTTTCTGTCTTTCTGTCTTTCTTTCTTTCTTTCTTTCTTTATTTATTTCTTTCTTTCTTTCTTCATTTTTTTCTTTTCTTTCTTTCTTTCTTTCTTTCTGTCTTTCTGTCTTTCTGTCTTTCTGTCTTTCTGTCTTTCGTTCTTTCTGTCAGTCTGTCTTTCTGTCTTTCTGTCTTTCTGTCTTTCTTTCTTTCTTTCTTTCTTTATTTATTTCTTTCTTTCTTTCTTCATTTTTTTCTTTTCTTTCTTTCTTTCTTTCTTTCTGTCTTTCTGTCTTTCTGTCTTTCTGTCTTTCTGTCTTTCGTTCTTTCTGTCAGTCTGTCTTTCTGTCTTTCTGTCTTTCTGTCTTTCTTTCTTTCTTTCTTTCTTTATTTATTTCTTTCTTTCTTTCTTCATTTTTTTCTTTTCTTTCTTTCTGTCTGGTCTGTCTTTCTTTCTTTCTTTCTCTTCTTTCTTTCTTTCTTTCTTTCCTCTTTCCTTTCTTTTCGTTCTTTCTTTCTTTCTCTCTCTCTCTCTTTCTTTCTCTCTCTTTCTCTCTTTCTTTCTTTATTTTTCTTCTTTCTTTCTTTCTTTCTTTCTTTCTTTCTTTCTTTCTTTCTTTCTTTCTTTCTTTCTCTTCTTCTCTCTTTCTTTCTCTTCTCTCTCTGTTTCTTTCTTTTTCTTGTCTTTCTTTCTTCTTTCTTATTTTTTCTTTCTTTCTTATTTTATTTCTTTTCTTTCTTTCCTTATTTCCTGTCTTCCTCTTTCTTTTCCTTCCTCCTTTCAATTAGACAAGAGCACACACATACTCGACCCTACACAAGCAAGCAAAGCAGTAGACCTCTCCAGAGATCTACACTACATCCTCATCAACATCTGTCAGGGAGCAGCAGCTACAGTAGTAAGGCAAAACCGCTACAACGCAAACGGATGTGAAACACTACGACTCCTACACAACCGGTTCAGCCTACCAGTAGGAACACGCAGTGTTGGCTACCTCACCAAACTACTGGAACCTACATTCAATGAAGCACAATTTGAAGAACAATTCCTACAATGGGAATATGACATCAACCGCTACGAGAAAGACAACGGCACAGCACTACCAGATGGAGTAAAGATCGCAATACTACTCAACAAGACCAAAGGAGCACTTCAACAGCATCTCCAACTACGTGCTGGACAGATCACGAACTACAACGAGATCAAGCAGTCGGAGGACCTGCACCAATACACATTGACAACATTTGGAGAAAAGGAAGAAACTACAAAGGCAAAGGCAAATATGGAGGCAAAGGACACTACAAAGGAAACAAAAAGGTAAGTACAGAAGCAAAGGCCACTACAAAGGATTCGACAAAGGCAGCAAAGGAAACTACAACAAAGGAGGATACAACAAGAACAAAGGAAAAGGCTACTCAGGATCCAAAGGACATGGATCAAGCAAAGGCTACAAAGGCCAAGGAAACTACAGCAAATCAAAAGGAAAAGAGCTTGAACAACAACTACATTGACATGCCACCAGTGTGGCAAACCGGGCCATTTGCACATGGGGGAAAAGGCAAAAAGGGGAAAAGGAAAAAGCACAAAAAAAACAAAAAAAAAAAAAAAAAGGAAGGGAGGGGGGAAAAGGGGGGGGGAAAGGAAGGAAAAGGGGGAGGGAAAGAAACGGGGTGGGCACAGGACTGCTGTGCGCCTGTGTGGCACATAGGAGAAGGAGAAGAACTACATCCACCAGACCAAGAACAAGATCGGGACAGCAATGAGGAACTACCTCAGGATCTGAACGACACTTCAGATTCGTACTACGAAGAAGGACATGGACACGATGTGAGCTACATGGAGGAGAGTTGGAACAACTACGACTACGACAACAACTGGGATTGGAATGACAACAGCTATGAAGATGCAGCAAACTACAGTGGAGGCATCAACGAGTCACACCTCACAATTGGACACGTCAGACAAGCAAAATCACTACCGTGCAAGCACAAACCCAAATCACTACTTGGAAAGAAAGCATCACACACAACATCATGGAACGACTACAGCAAAAGCTTTCAACAATTCCTACAAGAGGACACAACACAACTGCACTTCGACATAGCAGCAGCAACACAAAAGCAAAGACAAAAGAAGACTGATGACAACATCACACACTAC